ATCAACAAATTAAGTCATAACTAGTGTACCCACGCCCTAACCCTTATCTTAACCATAACCGTCATGGGAAAGTGTCAGTTAGTATTTAGTTAGTTGTTGAATAAGGCCATTTAGAATAAGGACTAATTAAGGGATAATTAACTATAAATTATACACTAATTAGCACTTCATTATCTGTTAATTAATGAGGTATAAGCTAAAGTCTTAACGATAAGTCTTGCATCCAAAACAATGTAGCCTGGGGTCAAAAGATGCAGTGCAGTAAATCACAAGAGCATTCGTTAAAAAGATAATTTATGCTTATATTATGTCACATACTGCAGGTCATACTTCCTGTTTGCAAATGTAAAGCCAACAATTAAATATAGAAAAAACCCTTTGCTGAAGAAGTCATGCGGGTTTGCTCCTAAGTAGAGGTTTTCAGGAGCAATACAAGTAGTTAGTAGTGATATCGGTAAATCTGACTTATACCAGACTTTAAAATAAGTCGTGTTGTGTCTTCTATCTGCAGAAGATCAGGGGCCGTATTCCTAAAGATTCTTACTGCTAAAAGTTGCTCCTAGTGGCCAAATTCTAAGAATTTTCTTAGAATCTTGACCAACTCTTAGAATTTCCCCTAAAAGTGAGGAGTAGCACCTAGTTAAGATAAAAGCTATTCCTAAAAAATCCTAGCTCTTAAGAGTGCTCTTAAGGGGAGATCCCTTAAGAGTTGAGAGGAGGACTTTTAGCGACTTAAAAGTTCCCTAAGAGCACAAAATGGTGGACGGTGGAGACAGGAGAAATATTCTATACACTGGATGACAGTGAATCAGTGAAACGCTGCAGATTCAAGCAGGAATCATGTTTGTGGTATATTTAAAAGTCAATCATGTGACCAGCTTCTCATTGGCTGGTCAGCAATAACGCCTCATCCATTTTACCTTTGTTACACAAAAGTAAGTAGAAATGGTAAAAGTTGAAAGAGAGGAAAAAGTGGTCCTAAATTGTCACACATTCAGTACGAATGAATGAATACTTTATTTTGAGCCATGGCAAACAAGAAAAAAAAGGACAAAACAAACAAAACAACAACAGAATAGAAGTACAAATATACAGTTTTGTTTTATTAACAACAATCCAGCTCAAAAAGGAGTGGGAGAGGATAAGACTTTTAAACTCCCTTGTACTTGATTTGTACAGTGTATGTATAATATGTTTATATTAATATTGTTTCCTTAATTCCTTATAAGTCTATACATATCACAGCCTTTACTAATCCTAACGTTATCATTATCATCATTTATCCATATAATATTTATAATAATAATTTTCTTTATCATGTATATTATATATAGAGTAATATTTAAATTATATGTATATATATATATATATATATATATATATATATAAAAATTATAAGTGCTCATGATATATACGTATTATGTGTGATAAATTGGTGCTGAGCAAGCTCTGATGATGGTGTATAAGTCTAACTTTACTATTCACAGTATTTATGTACCATTGATATATCTGACTTTATAGCTTTTGGTTATTATTTACAATAACACAGTGTTCCTAAGATTAGATTCCATGATTGAGTTTGTCCATTTTAGGGCCCTTATTTTGCCTATTATCATCAAAAATATGTTTGTTCTAACTTTTAGGATCAACCAATCACAGCGTCTGAAATGATGACTCATACCTAGCAACGGGGTCGGCCACGCCTCCTCACTAAGATAAAAGTTGTTGTCAATTCCTTGCTCAGAGTTCTCTAAGAGTGTTCTGGAATAACTTTTAAGCTAAGACTCCTAGCTAGGAGTTTTTAGGTTAAGATAAGAGCTCTCTGAGAGGACTCTCAGAATCTTTAGGAATACGGCCCCAGGTTTCTCTCAAAAGGAGTCATAAGTGTTGGAAACGGAATGCATCAAGAGGGTTTAATGACACAGCACAGTCAGTCCAACCTAAAGATAAGTGTCTCTTATAGAAGCGATGATATAACGAAAAGTTAGTCCATACATGCTTTTGTTAGCTGGATCTCAGACACAGAGTCTCATTGTGATGCATGTAATAACAGGTATAAAAGAGCAGATAACATAGAGAAGGTCTGTTCAAAGAAGGCATAAATTACAGAGTCATGGTCGAGTCTGGTTCTGAGGAAGTTTTGCAGAGTCTGGTCTTCACAGAGAAGGAGGGTGTCTCAGAACAGCTCAATAGTCAAACCCACAGGCACCATCAGTCCAATTCTACACATGTTAGCATAGCTCTAAATCACAGCAGTATCATCTCTGAGGACTTTACAAAGCTGTGGATTCAGCGACACAGATCAGAGAATCAAACTGTTCAAACACAGGAAACGCAGTGATTAAAAACACACAGAGCCATTGTCCATAAGGAGCAGAGACCAATGTTCATAAATGTTTATAAATGTTTATAAATGTTGAGTGTCCTGGATCATCACCACTGTCCTGAGACCTTCTGCATCGACAAAGACAAACTCTGAAAACCCAGTGGGAGAGAAACATGGTCCACAGTGAGAGAGGGATGTAGACATTAAGTCACATTCAAGGGACAAAGACAACTCCGGGTTATAACACGATCAAGCAGAAGTACAGAACAGATTAACAGACTTTAACAGACTTTAACAGATTAACAGGCTTTAACAGACTTTAACAGACTTTGACAGACTTTAACAGACTTTAACAGACTTTAACAGATTAACAGACTTTAACAGATTAACAGACTTTAACAGATTAACAGACTTTAACAGACTTTAACAGATTAACAGACTTTAACAGACTTTAACAGACTTTAACAGATTAACAGGCTTTAACATACTTTAACAGACTTTAACAGATTAACAGACTTTAACAGACTTTAACAGACTTTGACAGACTTTAACAGACTTTGACAGACGTTAACAGGCTTTAACAGACTTTAACAGACTTTAACAGACTTTAACAGACTTTAACAGATTAACAGACTTTAACAGACTTTAACAGACTTTAACAGACTTTAACAGATTAACAGACTTTAACAGACTTTAACAGACTTTAACAGACTTTAACAGATTAACAGACTTTAACAGACTTTAACAGACTTTAACAGACTTTAACAGATTAACAGACTTTAACAGATTAACAGACTTTAACAGATTAACAGACTTTAACAGACTTTAACAGATTAACAGACTTTAACAGATTAACAGACTTTAACAGATTAACAGACTTTAACGGACTTTAACAGACTTTAACAGATTAACAGACTTTAACAGATTAACAGACTTTAACGGACTTTAACAGACTTTAACAGACTTTAACAGATTAACAGACTTTAACAGACTTTAACAGACATTAACAGACTTTAACAGACTTTAACAGATTAACAGACTTTAACAGATTAACAGACTTTAACAGATTAACAGACTTTAACAGACTTTAACAGATTAACAGACTTTAACAGACTTTAACAGACTTTAACAGATTAACAGACTTTAACAGACTTTAACAGACTTTAACAGACTTTAACAGACTTTAACAGACTTTAACAGATTAACAGACTTTAACAGACTTTAACAGACTTTAACAGACTTTAACAGATTAACAGACTTTAACAGACTTTAACAGACTTTAACAGATTAACAGACTTTAACAGACTTTAACAGACTTTAACAGATTAACAGACTTTAACAGACTTTAACAGATTAACAGACTTTAACAGACTTTAACAGACTTTAACATACTTTAACAGATTAACAGACTTTAACAGACTTTAACAGACTTTAACGGATTAACAGACTTTAACAGACTTTAACATACTTTAACAGATTAACAGACTTTAACAGACTTTAACAGATTAACAGACTTTAACAGATTAACAGACTTTAACAGATTAACAGACTTTAACAGACTTTAACAGATTAACAGACTTTAACAGACTTTAACAGACTTTAACAGACTTTAACAGATTAACAGACTTTAACAGACTTTAACAGACTTTAACAGACTTTAACAGACTTTAACAGACTTTAACAGACTTTTAACAGACTTTGAACAGACTTTAACAGACTTTAACAGATTAACAGACTTTAACAGATTAACAGACTTTAACAGACTTTAACAGACTTTAACAGATTAACAGACTTTAACAGACTTTAACAGATTAACAGACTTTAACAGACTTTAACAACTTTAACAGATTAACAGACTTTAACAGACTTTAACAGACTTTAACCAGACTTTAACAGACTTTAACAGACTTAACAGACTTTAACAGACTTAACAGATTAACAGACTTTAACAGACTTTAACAGATTTAACAGACTTTAACAGACTTTAACAGACTTTAACAGACTTTAACAGATTAACAGACTTTAACAGACTTTAACAGACTTTAACAGACTTTAACTAGACCTTTAACAGACTTTAACAGACTTTAACAGATTAACAGACTTTAACAGACTTAACAGATTAACAGACTTTAACAGACTTTAACAGACTTTAACAGATTAACAGACTTTAACAGACTTTAACAGACTTTAACAAGACTTAACAGACTTTAACAGACTTTAACAGACTTTAACAGATTAACAGACTTTAACAGACTTTAACAGACTTTAACAGACTTTAACAGATTAACAGACTGTAACAGACTGTAACAGACTGTAACAGACTGTAACAGACGTAACAGACTGTAACAGACTGTAACAGACAGTAACAGACTGTAACAGACTGTAACAGACTGTAACAGACTGTAACAGACTGTAACAGACTGTAACAGATTAACAGACTTTAACAGACTGTAACAGACTGTAACAGACTGTAACAGACTGTAACAGACTGTAACAGACTGTAACAGACTGTAACAGACTGTAACAGACTGTAACAGACAGTAACAGA